TTGCGCATAATTTCGCAGCAAAATTTAGCGTGAGACCCGGCCATTTGTCTCCGAGCGGAAGACATCGCCATCGCCATCGCCATCGCCATTGATGCCCCATGTTAATTGTCCGCCCGTGGCACCCGGACACGGCACTGGCAAAGGGATCCCGTTCGCCGGAGTCCGAGGACGCGGCCAACCGCACCATTAAAGCACTGCCAAAGTTGCTGCCACACCACCGACCGCAGCTCCAAAGTGACTTTCCTGCTGTCCCGGATATATAGTGCTATACACATATATTTTTAGGGCTGACCTGCACTCTAATGAATGTCCTTCTCTGCTCCGTGCACTAAAAGCCAGTACATGTGTGTGCGTGGTGTCCAAGTTTAAGTAAATATTTTCAAATTGGCCATGTCCGGAGCAGTCCAGTCCACTCCCATTCACTGCGGACTGCATCGCGGATTTCTGGTGTCCTGCTGACAACTCTAAACTAAAAGACGCTAGCTTCCTTCCCTTCAATGAAACTTTAGTGTCAGCACAGTGGGAGCAGTATCCTGATATTTACATTGCATATTTACATTACTTGTGCAGCTTATTTTTATACCAAACATTTTAAGAGGAAAAGTTAATAAGTTCTTTGTTACGTGTCCCAGTAAATTACACTCTACACTCTTTTCTCGGCAGCAAAACAAAATATGTAGGGAACACTCTTATCTTATTTTGATTTTGAAGTTCGACCCAGCATAGCGCAGCCCCCATTAGCTGCAATTCCCTAATTTCACATTGCCACAACAAAGTGAGCTGAATAATTTGCCGCAGCGGCGAACAGTTTAGGGAATGTGGCGCCCCCGACCTCGACAATTGCCCACTGTGTGCAGCGCCAGATGTTGCAGTGCCCTCTGACATCCCGATGACTCTGCCACTGGCAGCCGCTAATGAAAGCTAGCGCCAAACTTTTGGTCCAAAAAGTCGCGGCACGGGTATGGCAATGTGAGTTCGGATCCGGATCCGAATTCGAAGCGTTCCGCCACATTGTTGCAGTGTTGCATTGTTGGGCGAACTTTGAAAATGCAAAGCAAATAATTTTCACAGTGTGGCCCTGTGTTACCCCCACTCCTCGAGTGACGAGGCTAAATGCACAACTTTTCCGGCGCTTCCCGCTGCTGCCACTGCCACTTCCGGCGGAACTAACGGGCTAACGGGATAATCTAACCGTGTGTGGCAGTTGCCGGAAGTTGTTTTGCCAATTTGTGCGGCAACTTTTTTTTTTACTTTGTCGGCTGTGTGTTTCGTTTAATTTTGCTGTTGAAATACAGTATAAAACAAGGCCTGTTTTAGTTTTTGCTTAATATTTTAAACTGCTTGATATTCGTATAGTGCATTACTCATTACGTATAATTGAGTGCCTAAATGTGTTTTAACCAAGCTTCCTTGTAACCATTACAGCTGTGCGACGGGCCAAGTTCGTGACGAAGCCACTGCCACACGAGATCAACGCACTGATGGCCTGCGGCACGGGATCGCCAGACTTATCCGGCCGGCATGATTTATTGCCGCCAGCCCGTTCGGGGTCACCAGCAACAGGCGCTGCAGCAGGTCCTTTGCTAACCTACACGGCCGCAGCGACAAGCCCACAGCTGTCAGCTGGAATTAAGGGCGGAACAGCCGCACCACCCACCGCTGGGGCACCAATGGTGGCAGCCGCTCTGACCGATAACGGTTTTATGGCCGCAGGTGTCTGTGGCATGGCTGCTCCTCTTGCTCCCCTTCCCGCAACATCAGCGGAGGCAGCCACTGCAACGGCCTCCTCGGCAGCATCAACATTGTCAGCTCTCCTAAGCGCCAGCTCCACGGGCAATGTGGACATCATGGAGGACGAGGATGAGCTGGAACGGGAGCGTTTGAGGTATGTAGAATGCTGTGGTGCAGTGAAGGAGCACGACAAATTCCATATTCCCATTTCATTCTCTGTGTAGCAAAAAAATGTGGGCCTGAAGGGTAACTGCAGATGCTTAAGCTGAGTTTCATTAAAGCCTTGCCTTGTTGCCAACTAAAATCGGAAAGCAAGCGCTGGGGGAGAACTGTTAATTTAATTTCGAAAACAAAGTTCCAGCCTGCCAGCAACACTTTAAATCAACACTTCACAATCTGCATGATGCACACAGCGGCCTTTTGCCACCCAGCCACCCAAGCCACCCACACCACCCACTTCCCCTTAAACAGCCTTGCGAATCCACGTGCCCCCTGCGGTGACTGCCTCCCCTTTGCCGGCTGCCATTTTCTGCCAGAGTGAAGAGTGCTCCGCTTCTGATGATGGTTTCCTTCGCCTTTTTGAGCGCACATTTTGAGCATTTTATTTAATAAAAAGCAGTAGCAGCAGCAGCAGCAGCAGCAGCAGCAGCATCTGGTAATTAATTTTGACAGTGAACCTGGGCACGCGTCGCGGGGCGCCCTGTGGCAGATATATGTGTGTGTATATATACCCTCTTTGGCTTCAGTTTCAGCCTTGTCTGTAATTAATTGTAAGCCGAGCCGGGCACTCACTCGCAATGAATCGGGTCAATTAATCGCAGCATCCCCACCCAGTGCGCCTTGAATCCTTCTTGCTTTGGGTAAACATCCACGTGATGTTGTCCTTATTGAGCGATGCCGAAATCGGAAGTAGTACTCTGGCACTTCTTCTTCGGCCAATCGCTCTGCAAGTGCATCTCGAGCAAGTGTTTGCCCAGCCAAGAGCCAAGAGCTCGCCATCCCGAGAGGCTTTTGGCCAAGTTCAATAAATGTTCGCCAAATTGGTTTGACAGAGTGAACTCGGGCCAGCCGGAGTGCCGAGCAACGAGAGTTCCCCGGAGACTGTTGCAGCCTCTCGAGACCCTCGTTCGTGGCAACTCAAGGGGTATTTGGATTGTCAATCAAATCAGACTCGATTTGGGACTTGAAGTTCTGAATGGATGTGATTGAGACTCAGTTTTAAGGCAGTTTTGGGCAACTTTTGACTTTAAGCCGGAAGTGCATCAGTATAGTTTGAACAATTTTTCCAAAAGCACCAACGATTGAGGTGCGATGATTATATTTTTGTCTTTACACTTGGTCAACCTTTTTTTCCAATTACTTTTAAACCATCAGACAGCGTTCTTATTAGTGGCCTTCCAAATACGACCAAATATGAGCCCCCAATATCACGCATACGACTGGTGTTCCAAGCCAGTTTAGGACACGTGAACCGACAGTTTTATGCCTTATTGATTGGCGGTCAGCCCAGCCATTTCCCTTTTACGACCTGAGTCTGCTCGGGGGTTGGCTTTTTATGCCTAATTGATTTATTTTATGGTCAGCTGCGGCATCAATATTTATTGTCCATCCGTGCTTCCTATCATTTCGCAGCAACTGTCCGCATGGAACGCCATCACGAGTGCCGCTGATAGCAAGTCCTTTGAGCGTGCCGCAGGACTCGGGCGAGAGTACCAACCGCAACACCGCCTTCAACCGCCACACGCTGCAGCCGCTGAGCCGCAAGACGCTGCTGCTGACACGCCGGTGCCACAGACACGCCTCCGGAACTCTGTACGACAGCACGGCGAACAACACGGAGACCTCCGACGACGAGGAGTACATGCAGCACGGCAGCGAGCAGTTTGTGCTGAAGAAGCTGCGCTACCACTGCGATGGTGGGCTGGACTGCCGCGAGGGGGATGACTCCGAGGAGGAGGACGAGGAGGCGGAGGGTCGGCAGGTGCCCATCAGCCTGGTGCTGCTCATCCTGGCAAGCTACATCTGCGTGGGCACCGTGATCTTCGCTCTGTGGGAGAACTGGTCGCTGGTGGACGGGGCATACTTCTGTTTCGTGACCCTGTCGACGATTGGATATGGGGATTTTGTGCCCGCCCGGAGCTTCAACGGGCCGGAGTTGCAGCTGTACGCCTGCTGCGCCTACTTGCTTCTGGGACTCGTCCTGGTGGCCATGTCCTTCAGCATCCTGGAAACGCAGCTCATGTGGAAGTGCAAGCGCATTGCCGTGCGACTGAAGCTGGCCCGCACGGATGGATAATTTGCTCATCCTAATCCCCACGCCACAATCTGCAATCTTCAATCCTCATCTTCAATCTGCAATCCGAATGCTTGAATCATAGACTAAGTGAACTGTGTAATTAACCCAAACTAGCCCATCTCTGTGTACATTTGTCAGCCTATCGAAATAGTGAGAACTCGTATGTTGTCTGGAATTCAAATGAATTTGTGTAAATAAACGGAATTTTTGGAATTTTGGAATTTCTCTGGCATTCACTTGGCACTCGGCAGGTAATCGGATACAGGCCACAAACGTTTTTCGCATACCAAGTACTTAGCAGCTTTTCATCTGAGTATAAATATGTGCCTCCTAATGTCACCGTTTGCATCTGCTGAATTGTGTGTAACATAATCACATTAACATATATTATTGCCCGCTCCGCCATAAAAAGCTGGGCAAAACGGAATTTGTATTTATCTTAATTCTGACTGAGAACCGGGATGTTTCTCCCCAATAAACATAATTCCTGCGCTTATCCCCGGTGAGTGTCAGCCAAAATAGCATCAGGTTTCATGCAAAACACACACAAGCACCTGAAACATTGTCCCCCCCAAAAAATACGCACACGTCCTGAAACTTGGAACGTTCATCATGTTTCCGAGTCACTCGGCGCATATAAAGTGTGTTTAGAGTGGCGCATAAATTTCAAATGCCACGCGTCATCAAAATCAAATGCCAGCCGCAGCTACCAGGCGCTCCAACTTGGCCAGGACCTCATGCGGCAAAAAGATGTGGCCCAAATCAATTGATACGACTTCAAATTGAATTTATAATTCCTTCGTTTATCCGTCGACTTGTTTATGTTGTGCCTCAATTGCCTTTGATGCTTCCGGCTTGCGACTTTACGCACGTTTTCACCGGAAAGAACTAAGTACCGGAGGGTCCTTCATGTCAAAGGTCGCTTCACTGGTCATATGCAAAAGCCATCTCGCAAATAACAAGCGCCTCCCACTTAATTTGCCTAAATAACTTCATTCCTTCTTTATTGATAGATACAAGTATATAGCTTTATGGAAGGCATCTGGCGGACCTATGTAGATTTATCACCCGTGTCCATGCCACAATCACATTTAGTTTCGATGCTTTGGCCGCTGGGGACTCGTGCTGGCAATGGAGCTAATTTCGGAAGCATTATCCCTGCCCGAGTGCCCGCCCTTCTCGTCCAGATCGACCACATGAATGTCGAAGTTCGAATTATCGGAGTGCACACCATCTGAGGTACGAGTGTTGCCCCGGTGGCGCCCTTCCATGGAGAAGGGGGCGTGGGTGGTGGGCTTATGGGTGGATGGTGGAGCAGCAGCTGGGGCTGCAGGTGCTGATTTCTTTGGAGGAGCAGGCGCCGAGTTCGCTATGAGTTTGCTGGGACACAGAGGAAGCTCACGGTTGCGAAACTGGGAAAGAGCAGTGTGGGAAACCCCTGGAGTTGGACCCGGAGTGGGAGCTGGAGAGGATTTCCTGCTGATCTTCAGCTCGGGAGCTGTGAAAGACCGGACGTTGTTGGCGGCCATTGCCCGGGCAGGCACGGTCCTGAGTGGTGGCCGCCAGGCGGCCTTTATTTTGGATTTTTCACCGTCGCTAATCTCAGCACTGATTTGGTTGAGCAGCTCCAGCAAGGTGCTCGACTTCTCATCCTCGAACTCGATGCGAATGGGCGACTCCCGACCGGAGGGACAACCTGGATTGAGCATTATGAGTCTGGGCAACGGAAGAAACATTAGTTAGGGGATTTTACAGAGAGTACTTGTCCCACCTCTTGGCCTCTTCGATGGCTCTGCTCAGGTTCTGGAGGCTCTTACGCTCGTCTTTGGTGCAGCGACCTATTTGGGAATCCTGGGCAGCACGGAGCACCATGTTCCACTTGTGGGCAGTGGACTGCAGGAGTACGGTGCGCGCCACTCGCTGGAACCGCTCCCTGGCGGTTTCTTTGGCCGGCTTCGAGGGTGTGGACTCCACCTTGATCTCCCGCATGTCACCCTGCCCGTTTACATTCCCGAAGGCATCGGGTTCGCAGCCATTTTGCACTGGTGCCACCTGGAAGCCCTTCATCAACCGGCGTTCCCACACTTTTATGCGCCGCGGTCGTGGTTCTGAAAGGATCCTAGACATGGTACTCCATGGATGTGTGAAAAGAAGTTAGCTTACGCCTCTCCTTTTTGTTGGCCGAGGATACATCCATTCCGCTGTTCTCGAATATCTCGAGCATTTCGTAGCGCATCGTGTTGATCTCGCTTTTGACCTCATTGATGTCGTCCTCCGAGACGGGATTATCCTCGAACTTGCGATGCATGGCAGCTACGTATCGCCAGACCAGGGAGCGCATTATATTATCGTACTCGCTAAACTGCTCCTGTTCTTTTCGCTTCTGCTGAAACGAAAGCGCCATTTCTCCAGTTCAAATGGGGCTTTAAAATCCTCAGTTTCTCACCTTGGAGCGCTGTCGATCGATGGTCTTGCTGGACTTGCGGAATATCCTGATGACCCACTTGACGGAGGGCAGGACATTGAAGGGCGGCGGCAAGGTGGCACTGTCCTCGAAGTAGCTCATCCACAACTTGGTACGGGCGAACTTCCACTCGGTGTCCGAGTGCTCCTAGAAAGAACAAAAGAGTGGAATAACCCTTACATAGGAGCTGCAGGAGGCGTCCGAACATACATCAATCATGGCATACGAATTGGACATCATTGCGATGAGCAGATTAAGCAGCACAATCACGTTGATGACGCTGTACGAGCCAAACATGAGCAGTCCCCAGAAACGCGTATACGACTTGATGCCACTGAGCTCGAAGTCGTCCAGCCCGACCATCCCGAAGCTGGCCCAAAAAAGTGACTGCGAGGACTCGAAAAGGCTGCGGGCACGGAGATGGGGGACATGGATTAGCGCAATGAGTGGGCAGCAACCGGCCGGAGGCCAATTGGCCTGCTGACTGGACTTACTTGCCAAACCGGCGCCACTTCATGCAGGAGTCGCCGTGTGAGCCCCAATCCGCCTCGCCACCCGGCAGCACATAGCACTTGCTCTTCTCCAGGGCGGCGAAATACCAGAGCAGTTGGTTCAGTCCACAGGCGAAGGCGAACAGCACCAGGGTGTAGATGAAGAAGAACTTCACTATGTCGATGACCATGCGACCCAGGGAGATCTGCAGCGGACCCAGGTGCGGATTGATGCTGAACAGGTGCACCAGCTTCAACGCCGAGAACACATTGGCCGCCGCAAAGAGTCCTTCTGCTATTAGTTGTGGGTCAAAGTCGTGCCATTTCTCGCGGGGTATATAGGCCATTTGCGGATCTCTGGCGATTTCTGTAGCCTGCTGGATGTAGGCGAAGGCTCTGGAGCAGCATAGTAAAAGGAGGAGCATATGAAGAGGATTCTGTGAAATCCACACATTTAGAGACTCACCTCAAACACATCACACTCACGTAGAGACTGTTGCGCAGAAAGTCGATGAAGTTCCACATGTTGCGCAAATAGTTCTTCATGCCCACGGCAAATATCTCCTGCACCTCCTCCCAGACAAACCCAATCACGTACAGCACCACGAGGAGCTCCAGTTTGCTGGGTGCCTGGCCCCGCTGACGCAGCTCCTGCTCCGCCAGCTCCTTCTTCATCCTGGCCGTCCCGAAGATGCGCACAAAGTCATCGTCCGCCCGCTGTGATACCAGAATCAAGATGACTGCAAGGCAAACAAAGGTGAGTCCGCAGCTCCGTTTGTTATCATAAAGGAGCTGGAGGGGAAGGAGCTCTTAATCGAAGGAAGACGCCTCCTGCACGTAAAGCCGTTTCTTATACCCTGCAGTTTTACACATCACACATCATGATGAATGACAACTCTGCTCCTGGCATATGCTAATAGTTTTTATGAGCTTAAACTATTGTGGTGTATTTTAATGTAATAATTATCATATTAGCATATTATTATGCTAAGCTGAATACCCAAATAAACTTTTAAATTAACTCCATAAGCAAATGAGAGTCTTGACAATAGAAAAAGTTTGCTGGTAAATGCATCCATCCCACAGAGGGTACCTGACCACGGCGGAGGAGGAGCCTCCTCCAATGGAGCTCATGCTGTTTGCCTTGTGCAACGACCGCACTTGACATACTCACACAGGAAGAACAAATAGGAGGAGGCATGGATCAGGAATTTCATAAAGGGCTTGCGCATCAACTGGCCCGTCCGGCAATTCGGGGCACACATGTAGATGAGGCAGTAGAGCGGGAAGAGCACGGCCACCTGCCCGATGCAGATGACTTTGTCCACGATGCTCTTGCGCCGGAATCCGGGGAGGCCGTCATACCAAATCGAGGACAGTAATTGCTGAATATTCGAGTGCGCAACGAACTGTCGCAGGAAGTGGAGAATTTTAGTAGCAGCACCATGCTGGAGACACAGCCCGGAAATACCTTTTTCTGCTTATAGGAAATGGCCTGCACCAGGCGGGTCAAGCTCATCCGGTCGCCGGGCTCGTAGCTCGACATCTGCGGATCATAGTTCAGGATGATGGCCAGCTCGTTGGAGGTGCGCGTCTGATCCAGCAGATCCACGGCGAACTTCTGGCACTGCCTTCGCAAATCCATGTACTCCGACTTGCACTCCTGCTCGGTGAGCGCCAGGTTCCTCAGTTCCCATGACAACTGGAAGGCGGTGATTATGGGGTCGTTGGAGGTCAGGCAGATCAGAGAGGGGCTGCACAGCGCCCGGTAGATGTTCACCCGGGAGAGCGAGTGCCTCAAGGAGTCCTCCGCGGTCAGGCGTACGCACTCCTCACAGCCGCAACTATGAAACCAGCGATTACTAGTGGGTTATGCCCATGTGGGGTAGACCAGCTCACCGTATATCATGTGGCACTGGCACCGCTGCTCCGCGGTCCAGCAGAATGCGAAGTATCTCAAAGTTGTTCTTGTGGGCGGCCAGCATCAGAGGTGTGATATCCGGCGCAAACATAGCAGTATTTATGTCCACTTTTTGCCAGCTCTGTGGAAAGGAAAAATAATTACATTTTTAAAAAATAGTGCAATACGGAGACCTAAAATCACCTGTTAAACGAGTTGAACTACGACCTACAATTATGCGAGATAGTCAGCAGCTATATGATTCAGTAAGCTACTTGTTATCAGTTCTGCGTTACACGTAACATTTTATAAAAAAGTATTAGTAATAATTAAGTGAATAATCGGTAATTATTTTGTTCAGCAAGCAAGTGAGATAATTAGGTATTATTTTATACGGAAAGAAAACATGTAACATTCCTTTGAAAAAAGTGTCAGTGAACGTAAAACAAAGCACACTGGCTCGCATGACTAAACTACATTTTGTCAATCTCGGTGGCTATTTCTCCGAAATGGCCCAAAGTCATTCCGAGAACGGCTCAATAGCCCACTCGAGGAGCGCTGTCTTCATCGTTTTGTGGATGTTGTTAAGCCTGTTAAACGTTTTATTGCATATGCGCTACAATAGTAATTTTCACGCTCCAACGGCGCCCAATGGCTGCCTAATGAAGCGTGCCAGTGTGCATAAATATGAGGCCGACGGAGCCCAGACGACTTTATTTGCAATGGGCGTAAACCGTATCCCGTGCTGTGTACTCCGTATGCCGGAGTGGTCCGGAGGTACTGGATTTTCTGAAGGAGTGGGCGGATGTGGGGGTTCTTGGTCGTTGGCCGCTTATCGCACACTCCCAATCACTCGGCAGTCGAGATCCTGCGAGTACGTGCCCAATGGCGAAGATGATCCCGATGGGTGGGCCACTCCAGCTACTCCAGCTACTCCGGCCACTCCAAACGCCTCACGCTCCTCGCACGGAAACTGATTAAAATCGTGTTAGCCTCGACTTACAGGCCCTCAACGCCTACGGACGATAATGTGGGCCACAAATTAGCTGAGCACAGCAGACAAAACCGAGGATGCACTGGGAAAAATGCCCTGACCTAAAAGAGGGATCTAAAGCCCCATTAAGATGTGTATCTCAAGGAATCAATCCAAGCCTTCGTCTCATTAGCCAGCTTTTAATAAAAATCTAAATTTCTGAATTGCTGGTCGAAGTAAATTAGTAATTTAGGATCAGGCAGTCAATTTCTCCAGGTGTCTGTGCAGTGACTTACGTAGGGCTCGCCCTCCTTGTAGATAAGCTCCTCGTGCTCGAGCAGTAGCTCCACAGCCTCCACGAACTCCGCATTGATGGCGTGCAGCAGGGCGTCCTTGGTCTCCACCCCCATGACGACGAGCAGCTCCACCATCTCCAGGTTCTCGTTGTCTATTGCCAGGGTGAGCGCCCGGCGGCCCAAGGGGTCCATGCAGTTGATGTTGATGTGCTGATGGCGCAGCGCCTTCTGCAGGATCCTGCAATTATTCGAATTTACTTAATAAAGGCGGTGGCATTGCTGCTAATTGGGGCTGGGGTCCGCCATAACTTTTCCTTTCTTCGCCTCTGCCCAGAATATGCCCCCCATCGATTCCCTATGTCAAGTGAAAAGTTGGAGTCCAAGTTTCTAATTACATCGCGGCCGCGGCCTTCGGAAAACTTTCCCAATCAATTGGGCTCCAAACAAGGGACGCATATCGCATCTGTTTAGCAGCGGCCAGAAAAGAGAGCGCAAGGTGGAAAAATCCCAAATTGTGTTGAAGTACTTTTTCCAACACTACAGTGGTTGGTTGACTGTTGGCAATTAATCGAAATCTGGTTACCCTGGAGGTGAAGTGTCAAAACGTGTTTTCATCTGCCAGTCATTAAGGGCAGAAATCTTTGATTTTACGAACGTTCGTCAACATAAATTGTTGTACTAAATTCAAAGAAGAAACGCAATCCGCTTCCAAGACGCGATTACAGTGATTACACACTACACCCGATATTAGGCAATTAAATTATTTGTACGCCCCAACGCTTGACTAACCCAACCATATCCAATGGAAGCCGTAGAGGGTAAAGGCTTGGTCATCAAAATGGCCCAAAAGAACAAGGGTGAGCCAACAGGCTTAACTGCCTCGGTGTGTAAAGTATGCAACCTTCAATCTTGCAGAGACCCAAACTGTGAAGCTGATGGCCGGAGGCGGGATGGCCAACAACTGGTTTACCCCGTCGGCATATGGCGCTGGTGGTGTTTCATTTGCGAGCACTCCCATGGCCTCGCCATCGCCCATTCCGCACCACAGTGTATCGTGCCAGTTCTACATGGACCGCGAGGAGCAGCTGTACCGCCGCGCCTGCGAGATGAAGGGCATCCGGGTGGAGCGGGTCCACGAGATCCGCGAGGAGGAGGACGACTCGAACGGCTCCGAGGAGGAGCCTACTAAGGCCATCCGCTACCGCTACACTCTGGACGAGATGAAAAGCTTCAACCCCTATCGTTTTATCAACTTTTAAGTGTTCCCAAAACGTCTCGAGTATCGTCCATGTCGCCACATTCCCATTTCCATCCATATCGCATCGTCAGTATAATCGTATCCACGTAGGGTCCATTACTCGGTCTAGTTTCGTCACCATCCCCTCAATCCACTCAAGATGCCAGCTTGTAGCTGCACCACCCATGCCTCCAAACCCAAACCCACATGGGAATCACACGAGAAACTTGAACCCAGCATACCAACCATTTGCTTGTTGTTACCGTATAGCCAACTCGATGAAAACAATAAAGAATTGTTCATAAATGACATCCTGGCATGTAAGCAAAGGTAACGACGTCTTATTGCAGGTCAGGCAACTGAAGTTATCCAAACAGAAACAGCGAATTTATTGAAATGAGTTGTATGAGTGCATTTGATATTTATAATTTCTTTGCAATAGGATTCGTTTGTTCAATTGAATGTGCGCGAATGAGTTTTGAACGGCTTTAAGTGACAACCGAAAAGTATCTGGATAATTTGGCTTATCTCGTATTCATTGCCGGCAAACGGAATTAATCTCGCATTTATTAAAGCAGAGCCGTAAACGAGCCTAAAGTATCCGGGTCGAAGTCCTCATATTGCTTATTAAGTGGCTGGCAGGATACCAGTTGGGTAACCATTGCGAGGCCCGCGGCAGACGAGTGTGCAAATAATGGAAGCCACCACCGGCACCGCATCCAAACACCCAAGGAGGCTCCCGATGGGATTTATGGTGCCTGTGCGACCCAGCCCAGTCAACACCTGGGCTTCCCTGGGCGAAGCCACCAATGGAGCTCGTGATACCCCTCTAAAAATGTGGGCTCCCTACACTCGCAGAAATCTGTTATTTGTTTTAGCTGAGGCTTAAATACATCAACACAATTTAAGTCGATTGGAAGCATTCATTCTTTGCATACTAATGCCCGATTGTGGTAGAAGTTTCTTGCAGTGCATCCTCCCACCCAAGAAGGACGTCGGAGGCGTGAAAAGCGCCACTCACCTGCGCACATTCGGCATATCGCCGCGCTCGACAGCCAGCAGGAACTTCTTCTCCTCGAGCAGCAGAGGTTGTGGTAATCCCAGTGGCACACAGCACCCGCCCACCGATTTGGGGGCGGCGGAGGCGTGGCTGCCGCCAGACGATACCTGGCATATTTTAAACAGACAGGTGAGCAGGAGCACACACGTATGTGTGCATGCCGATGTGGCGGGGAAATCGTGTATGCGGAATTGCAAATAAATAAAAAATAAACATACAAGAAATTAAGTGCAAAGTGGATGATGCTGGGCTGATTGTCTGGCTTCCATCTAAATGGCATTGGATGCGTTCAGGTAAGCGGCGTTTAGCTAATGCGGGCGTCTTTAAGAGATGCTACTTTCTGGATTCGGATCTGTATCTGTATCTGGATTGGAATCGGATCCTTGGTGGGTTTCTACTTACGCCCGTCGGCAACTTCTTTTTGCGCCCCATTCTAGAGTTGGTGCACTTCACTTAACAGGTTTAGCAAGTCCAGGGTTCAGAGTTCAAAATCCGGCTTCATGTCGCAGGGCTTAGCACACTTGCATTGAAAACTGAACGATATTTACATATATGGCATATATTTTTATATACACAATGGCTAAGCCAAAAAAGTCCAATACTAAGCCGGGCCACATGCAACTTTCAAGTTGATTTTGCTTTTATACACATATATAGTATGCTATGTCCAACTGGTTGTGCGTGTGTGTGCTTGTGTGTCTGGTGGTTTTTGACTTGGTTTATGGTTTCTGGTTTCCGGCGTGCAAAAAGTTTCTATTTAAGCTGTTTATAATGTTTTTCTTTTTATTTCCGTCGCTGGCCGAGCTGGCTAAGCCCATTTTAAGTGCCATCCGCATGGGCAAGATTTAAGTTTTGCCAATTTAGTGAGTTCATTAGACACTGTGCTGTTTCACTGTTTCCCGACTTTTCTGGCCAATTTCAGAGGCCACACTGAACACGGAATTTTTGCACTTATGACCAATTGTTCCACCGCCTTTCTGTTTTGATTTACACTTTCATTGCCACGATATGCAGTTTGTATTAGTTGTTGTGCCTCTCAGTGGATGGTTCACATCAGCGCCAATCGGCTTGCTATTACAAATAATTTCGTTGTTTTCCAATATTTTGCCACAGCCGATGAAAATATTTCCCTCGCATGTGTGAACAATACCAACATGAATATTTAAGAAGTTTTTTTGGGGCGAGGGCCTGCAATCGGTAATCCGCAAAGAAAAAGTGCATTTCGCCTACGTGCTTTTGCTTTAGACTGGCTTTATGCTCCTGCGGACGCGGATGCGGATATGGACGCGGATATGGATGCGGATGCCGCAGATGCAGATGCATTTAAAAGTGTTTGGGCTGGTCATAAAAAATGCAAGTGCTTTGCATACGCGACAAGAAAAAACTCGGCCCCATCATGGCGGTTGTTCCGTAAAAAACACTTCCGGTACCAACAAAAGGCGGTTCTGGCTGCCACAGCGGCCCCAATGGTGCATTGTTTAATTAACTTAATAGAAATATAAGTGCGGAGGACAGGCGAAAATGCGGACGGACATAAAAATGTCGCAATAAATTCGGTTTTATCCGCCACTTCATGGGAAGCGTTTATAAATGGATTTATAGCTGCTCACCTGCAGCAGGTGCACAGTGCGACTTCCCATGGGAAATGGGCTTATATCTGCACCTGTATCTACAATAACTAGGATTATATAATATGGCATTAGCCCATATTTCCATGGAGCATTTCATTCTAATTTCCCCCTCTGTCTGCGCAACCAAGACGTGTTCATTTTCCCTGCAGCCGATTGAAGTAGCACAGTTTTGTGGCAAGACACTGGAGTTCATTTAAACTACAACAAATTCGGAGTATTTTACACAGTTCATAAAAACGGAGAGCTTATCGCGATGGCAGCAAGTTGAATCGAAACTCCAGCAGTCACAAGCCACAAGCTCCACACACAGCCACAACTTGACAACGGAGCAACTAGGAGCAGCCAGGAGCAACCAGGAGCCAACAGGAGCAACCAGGAGCACAATGAATGAAGGATATAGCCACGTAATTCAGTTGGCCCACGGACTGCACTTAAGCCACTTATAGCCAAGCGCACGGATACGTACTTCTTGCATTCCGGCACATAAAAACGTGTGCAATTGTTCGACTCGCTCGCACAATGGACGTTGGAATTTCATGTGACCGGCTTAGGTGAGGACTGGGAATATGAATTGTATGCAGGCATATACTTTATAACAATGCGTTTGGTCACCGAACTTGTTCCAGCACAATGTGTTCTAGTTTATGTATATTTTATTTTATATTTATCTCCCTTCTCTGGCGAAAAACCCGCCGTGAGACAACCCGCGACGCACCGCGAACGTGTGCCACCTGCGAAATTTACACGCTGCCACTAACGCGCGGAAATTTATACCTTTGCCGAGGGCCGAGGGCCGAGCGGCGATGTGGCTAATTTAATTAGACTAAAACGTCAAATATTTGTCACCCATCGCATGGATACGCCTGGAGGTTGTCCGTGCGAGTATCGTTTATTATATGTATTTATATATACAGGTATACAGATGTACGTTTCTGGTGTTATGAATTGCCGGGGTCGAGGGCTGAAACAGTATCAACAAGTTTTCGCCAAGTTCCCTAAGGGGATTAGGAGCCCAACATGTGGAGGGCATGGGGATGGGGGCCACGATCCAGACGGCGACTGTCGGCAATTGAATTACAACTAATTTGCCATGATTTGATTTGTGCTGCGACAGCTATTGTTGGCCATTTGCTCTTCGGGCGCTTTTCTGGCCACAAACTGCTCCACATTTGCGGATATTTTCGTGCTGCCCAATGCAGCGTTCCTAATTTGATTTGGAAAATTCCAGTTCAGCCTGCAATTCAATTCACATTGCTAACCTTCCGTTTTCAATACATTTTCATAGCTCCGTAACCGGTTCAGACCATATCTACGCCTTTTTCTACTATTATACTTGCTATAAATCTGAAATCAATTAAAATGTGTATTGCTGAATTTGTTTCTCTGCTAAAAGTGGCTCGTATTGCATTTATTTGTTCGTAGCCCAAGCTTATCCTTGTAAGTGGTGCAATTCGAATAATTTATTTTACACTTGTAACGATTTTTTCCAATTTTTGATACCCATTAAACTCCTTTGTAGCAGACCTCTAGAGCCCCTAATTTTGTTATTTCATTAGTTTATTTAATTTTCCACTTGCAACCGAGGCATTTCACTGGGCAGCCTTTGAAGGGGCCTGCCCTCCACTGGCTCCTCCACTTCAATTGTGATACAAGGCACTGCTAGACAGTCCAAGAGGGTCCTTCACATGTTCATATGTCTCCGGCAGAGTCAGCCTTTTGACGGGCATAAACAAATTTGCCCCGGCAAATCTGAGCTCTAGATACACAAGCAGTAACCGACTTGCCAAACAAAGGCGGAATTAAATCAAAAATCTTAAAATGGATTTTGATGAGATGGGGCAGAGTGGTTGCTGGATGGACGGGGGGAGGGGGAAGGGGAGGGGGAATCCTTTGGCGACAGACAACAATTGAAGCAGATCCCAGCATCAGCTGAAAAGTCGAGGTTTGGGCCGGAGCTTCGCATGACTGCACGTAAACAGGCGAAGCCAAACAAACAAACAAACACCAGATGAGGTTTTCAGGCGGAAAAGAGTGGAGCAGGAGCAAGGGGAGCAGCAGGAGCAGGAGGAGCAGCATGCCCACACGTAACTCATTTAGTGGCAGGTGGGTTACCATGACTGCGTCTTTTATCAAGCTGCATGCGGTGGGCGAGGAGCTCCAGTTCGAAGCAAAAGCACCCTTTAAGTCGCGGCCGTCTCCATTCTGCCGATTCTCTTGCCGCGTTGCGATATATAAGCACTTCCCCTACTTTTTTTTGCTCCCTATATCTGCTTGTTTTGGCCACGTGGCTTTTAGTAATACACTCGGAAATAATCAATAAACACTCGATAAATATTAGGCAATAAATATCTGTAGAAGCACATCATTTTAAAGTAAATAATAGAGCTTATAACTTAAAAGTTACTCTATTGCAATTGTTACTCTGCAAATGGAAGTAAAAAAGCCAGTTGAACAGCTCAAAAAATGTGAAATGAATTGATGAAGCGTTTCCCAATTGTTTTCAGTGGACCCGAGTGCGTCTGGCTGTGGCAGTCCCAGGAGCAAACAGACAGTAAGTAGCATAGTTACACGCACGCCCTCACACATTTCGCAGCAGGTTATTCTGGAGCAGGTTATCCTGCAGGCGGCGATCCTGGCCGAGGAGCAGGAGCAGGAGCAGGAGCAGGAGTGCCGAGCTCCGGAATAATATGATGCATTTCCATAATTCACCCGGCAGTTCGCCAAACGGTTTGCTGCTTTGCTGCCGCGCTGCACACACAGTGTGTGGCAAATAAAATTGCATTCAATATTTCTCCTCGTTTTGCTGCAGCTCGTTGATGAGATTTTTTCCCATGGCGCCGAACCCACGCGTGCCACGCCCCTCCAGACGTCATATTGTTTGTCTTGCATTAAATTTATGGCGGTTGCGTTGCTGCACTCGCCCTAAATTGCATGTCGGTTATATTATTTCAAGCTGCAAGCTCGCATAATAATGCGCCATCAGTTCGATGCGGTGTGCTTAAGAGCCCTTAAGTGATCTGGAAAAATGATTCTTAAATCCGAGTGGGCAAACAGATTGCAGGAAACAGCAAAAGTAATTGCATAACTCGGTCATAACTCGATTATTCTCCCTTTGGCATGGGCTTTCAGCCAAATATGCCTGCATTTCGCATTCCCCGTATTTCCCTTTTCATGGCCGACTTTTGGGCGCTGCATTCGATTTTCAAGTTCCCTACTTTTCCGATTTATTCTTCTCGACTTGTTTTCTCTCGAAAATGTGCGCCCAGCTCACTGAAATGACGCCATCAAGTGGAAGTGGCATTCTTTAAATATTTATTTTCGCATGCCAATGTGCTGAGGCACTTCCCCTTTAAACAGTGCGAAATTTTCATCAATGAAATGGGACTTTAAGTTGAATCGAAGGCAAGCAAACGAACTTCTTGGCCTGGCCCCATTGTTGCCCAAAAGCAATCCCCAATCCCAATCCCCAAACGGTTCCACGAGCAGGATCAAAAAGCAGTCCTTGCGGTAAAATAAATTCCCTGCAATTCATGACAGTTCAGCTGAGTCCGGGAATATCAGGTGGAAATCGGAGTGGGAGCTGGCGTTTTCCCGCAGTGAAAAGGGGGCGTGGCGCTGCGTACGTGCCGAGATACAAAACTTGCTTGAAAGGATTAGAAAGTCGGGTGTGGAACGCACGTAGCTCCGTTCCTCCCTCGAAGGGCTTAGAAGGCAATCAAAATTAATTGTTTTGCGGTTAGCCACAGAAGTCCTCCATCTCCGGACCGTCCATAGACCCCAGGCCAGCCATTTCCTTTGACATTTCGAAACGCCAGAAATAAATGTACATGTTTCTTTTATAATAAACGAGCCACTCAGCTGCCAGGCGGCTGGCAGAAGTGCCAATTAAATGTATTTACAAGCGAACGCAAATCAAGCAGCTGAAGTGCCGCATCACTGACGCCACCAATCCAATTCAATCCGATTTGATCGGATCGAAATAGGCCGAATCGAACCTAAAAATATCACTCACCTGTGCATTTGTTTACGTGGCCGGCCGTTGGGTGTAAACAAGTCTCGCCGGAAGTCCACCAAAGACGACAGAGTGCTCAGATACTCGCATACTACGAGATACGAGTACTCGCATATGTCTTTGCATGCCAGGAGGTCCAAGTGCTGAAATGCAAACGAATCCGAGTCATTGCTCCACTTTGTCGCAAGTTCAAGCAGCAAGGTCCGTCTGGCTCACAAGATTCCCCCAGCATTGATCTCTGGCTGTCAACGGGCCGTGTAAAGGCCAAATGCCGTTTATTTTTAATGGCCATACATACGTATATGTATATCCATCTGAAATATCTGAAATCTGTTGGTAGATGTCATAAGCAGCGGCGCCAGAGGAACAGTCAACGACACGCCGACGACCTTAGAGTCGAAACAAAGCACTATGTGGCAGCCACATAGCGGATAATTCGGGCGCACCATCATCGCTTCGAATTAAATAATTTATTTAGCCATTCGTCCGCATGCTTTGCGTATATCCCATTAATGAGCCACAAAGTATTTGCGATCGAGGCAGCTGCAAACGGAAAAGCTGGATCTTGAGAGCCAGGCAGAAAGACCAGCAAATTGATTTCCAACGATGGCGGATTTTATTTTGGTCGGCTGGTGGGCGGAATGCAGAACGCGAAATCATAGTATATTAACAAACTGGTTACATGATCTTCTGCCTCAAAAGCAGCACAACATCCAAGCCTCCATATACAACGTTACCCTTCCTAAATATAATTGACGCCCGGACTAAGCCCAATTTGGCATATTGGGCCCAATTGTCGGCGATTAGCTCCACATTTCTTGCATAGTATTCACCTTTTTTGATTGGACAGGTGCGACTTGGAATATTCGTGTCCTTGAATGAAACCGCAAAGTAATTGTCATAAATGATCGACAAATACATGCAAGTTTTGTACTGCGCGCGGATGTTTGATGACTCCCACTCTCCATTCAAGAGTGTAGATACATCGGTTGATATTTCGTAATTGTTATCCAAATCGACGTGTAAGTTTATTGTCCCATTCAATAGGCGTTCCCTTCCAACCACTTGGAAATTAAATTCAAACAGTGTTTCATTGTCTCCATCAATTTTCGATAAGGATTCTAATCGACATTCCAGCGCTGCTCGAACCAGTGCCTAGATGAAAAGTACTTTAAATGGAAGGCTTTAATTGGAAGGCTTTCAGCACACCTACCGAATGGGCGATGGACAGAACCAAAAGGACTTTCTGCAGTTCAAGCGACATTAGCAGCTTTTTTGGTTTATAATCTTCAATAACATAATCATTTCAATAGATTCGTTTTTATATCATTTTGGCCCTGAGCATTCGCATGTGTAGACATCATAAAACGCTATCGTGAAACAGTTTTCTGTCAGTCGAGTGAGATAAAATCAAATTATCAGTAATGCAATCTTTTATTGATAACACTAGACCAATATAAAGAACCATTTTACTTCATAACGACACGAAATACAAGTTAAACTAAATTAATTATAATGTGTGCTAGATTAAGCAGCGCACAATTTTCCCATTGTAATTTTCATTCAAGATCAGAAGGTACTTCAAAAAGTTTGAGCCTGCTGCTCCTCACGTATTCCCCTGGGAATTCCACCGCCCACATTCGGAAAATTGAAAATGGAAAATGGGAAATGGAAAATGGAGAAGGGAAAACGGGGCTAATGGACCAATGCTGCGTGGTTGCAGTTGTTGAAGTCCGATTTGGTTGTTGCTGTTTGTTGTTTGCTGGTTTATTATTAGCACGCAAAGAAGTTTAGCGAGGTAAACACATTGACTTCATGTTGCGCCGCGGAAAAGTCGACGTAAGTCGGGGAAAACAGATTTCGAAACAAGCGGCAACCCGAAGCGGCAACAAAAATAGCTCCGCCGGGAGCCGAAAATTTCCACCCAAACTGGACTGAAATTGAAAAATATTTTCGAGAATACCAAAACAGTTGCGCCTGCAATGAGCGAAAGAGAAGACGACTTGTTTCGAGTGCCCAAAAATGCGTTAATCCTCCAAAACATCAAACGAAAGCGGAATTTGTGTTGAAATGTAAACATTTCCACGCGAAAAGTGTCCGACGAAATAAAAATGGTAGTGCGAAATGGGCAAACGTGCAAAAAATACGAGTACACACATATCGTCGTCGTGACATCTAAAAACTGTGCACCCCAAACAAGCAACAGAAGTTTTGGAGGTGTGAAAACATCGTTCCGCAATATTGGCGGCCTTTTCACCTGGTCGGAAAAGTGGGAAATCGGAAACAAACCCAGTTCCTAACACCAAAACAAAAAGGAACAATGTAAACTGCAGTCACACGACAAGCAAAACAAAAACAAATCAACCGAGTTGTAGTGAAAAGTTTGCTGTACTGCACAGATTAGAAAATAGTAACGAATATTACAGGATTATCATATTTTCAAAATTCGAAATATATATGCGCGAATAAACGCATTATCTGAAATATAAATTACCATTAAATAAATATAGGCAATGCTTTCATGTGCAACGTATTTTTTAGAATACTTTAATGTATTGTTTAACAAAAATGATTTGAGTGTACACACATATACTTTATACCTTTGTGACTGAAAAACATAGTGACTCTACTCGAAAGTAGAGCAGTATGAAAACAAAACGTGCCGCCATCGCAATTTTCAATCCGATCGAAAAAAATCGAGAAGAGCTGCAGCTACCGGCAGCTGCGTTTAGCGCATTTAAGGGATTTGCATTATTCAAAGCGCAGCCAAAGGCGGAAGCCCGTGACGTAAAAGCCCGGAGAGATTGGGGCCGAAACCAATTTTTGGCCAACAGCCCTTGGTCACTTGGCCGTGTGCAAATCAAAACGCAGCTTAGTTCGGCGGCCAGTCTGTTTGCCTTGGACTCTGCCCAAAACTTTAAAGCCCGGCTACCTGCCGTGGTCAGTGGGTATGGATATGGTTTGGGATTGGGATTGGGTTGGGAGGAGCTGCGAGAACACGTTTCGCAACCACACGCCGTTGTCTGGGCACGTTTGCATCAAGTGGCTCGACCTGGCAGGCGTTTTGTTTATTTGCCTTTGCCTCTGCTGCCGACGAAGGCAGGAGCGACTGAATCGGCGGGAGCGGAGTGGAGTGGACATGGCCAGTGTGTGGATGCCACTGGGGGAGTGGGTGGGGCAAGGCGGTGGAGTGGGAAGTTCTATGGCTGCAGCTGCCAACTGCGCGTATACGTAATTTTATGGCCAAGGCTTCGGAGCAGGCTCAGCCGTGGTTATTGTTTATAAGGCAGGCGCTCTTAAAGCGATTTAAGTCATGCCAACGGCCACTGCACGCCACACAGACCAATTAAAAAGCCAGGTAGCAAATAAAACAGTCATGTAGAACTTAGACTTTAACAGTCTATACTAGAAATGTAGCTGGTAGGCGGTAGTCATATAACTATTACAACTAGTAGTTAGCACTTGGCAGTTTTGAATAAAAATTGCACCATTTAATAATTGATTGCAGCACAACTACTCATTGCTGTAAATGTATCTATGCCCTACTTGAGAGACCCAAAGTGGCGGAAAATTAAATCCAATTTGGACGACACATTTTCCACCGTGCAAGTGCCCTCCCCGTCTATTTATATTTGAATCCATGTGCGGGCATGACGCATACCCCTCTTTCACCCACCATCCGGTCATTAGGCTTTCTTCCGTTTGATAAGATACGATGCGATACGGCGTAGTCTGCGGTTACGGGGAATACGGGGTCTACGTACTGGTAACCTATATAAATATACACGGGCGTAATTTAATAACGAGGCTAGATAATTGCGCGCCTTGCCATTATTTATAGTTCACACTTGATGAAGATATTTTGGGAATGTGTAATGAGAGATTTGCCAAGTTTAAGGAATGCCTAGCTTATGGAATGCCAACTAATTGGTTGGGTGTGATGCCTTGGGATCAGAATGCCAGTGATTTCTAATTCAATTTCATAAACTGAATGATTGAATTTACGTATGCGAGGGAATCATTTTCAATTTTAGAATTTTACCCAGCAACTCGGAATGCCTTGCAACTTTTGATAATGAACAGTGCCTAATACATTTGATTACACTTCATGAAGCACTTTGATTTCTGCAGAACAAGGTTTATGGTACTCTCAAAGAGCTGTCAATAAACAGGTCTTATCGTGAAAGAAATTATTTGACAATCTTTTGACCACAAATGTGATCAACAGTTTGGCCAGCTAAGCAAGACAAAGCCACAGGGCTTTGAAACGGCAACAAGTTGCGAAAAAGTGGCAAACTGGGAATAGGAAGCAGCCATATAGAAGAATATATAGTAGCGATGGGTCGACAAATAGAATAGTGTGTTGTTCTGTTGCCAAAAAGAAAATCGGAAAACTGTAGAAAATGTGCTAAGCGACAACAGGGAAAATTATTTCATTCGCGTACACAAAACAAGCTGCAAAATGAGCGACGGGCCAAAAAGAGCGGAGCACACACAAATTGCTCTGCAATTTATTTTTATACGAAACGAAGCAATACAAATAGGAGTGTATATATGCAGTTGAGGCTTGCCCCCCTATATCTGTGCCTGTGTTTGTTTATTTATAGACACGTATAGGCGAGAGTCGATCGACCGTTTCTCTCAGTGCGGCAGTTATCAGCCGAAAAGCACATTTATAACCACAAAGGAACACACATACGCCGTATCGCCGTATTGCCGTATTGGCAAAAGCAGAACAGAAACGCCAGAACAGCACAACAGCAGCGAAAACGGCTCAAATCAAATAATGTGGGGCCAGGCCAAAACAGTTTCAGGCAAAACGCTCGCTCGCGATGACACAATAGCGAAATAGTGCCGCTTGCGAATGAATTTTAGCGCTGAAATCAAGCATACGCAACGTGGTGCTTGGCGGCCAAGCAGCTAAAAATAAGAATCGTTCTTTTGGGCCATTTTTTAAGTGCGCAAAACCAAACGCTTTGCGAATCCATGCAATAAGTGAAGTGAAGTTAAACGCAAAATGTTCAGTGATCAATAATTACAGATGCCATTAAATATTGTGCCACCAAACAACTAACAATCCAATCAGCAAGCGTCCAGGAATAAGTTCAAGCCGATTCAAGTGAATCCAGCAATATGATCTATATAGATGACTCAGAGCCGGAAGGTGGTAAGTCTACGAGTTGCCTCTCAGGCGAAAAAGACCGATAATGCCTCCAATTTAGCAGTGAATACCACGGCGCAAACGCGTTGTGTATCGCCAGTGATAAGGGGCTGTCAACGGTTATCTGCATATATTCCGCCCATAGATATAGCCCCAATAAATGTCTCGAATGGCGGAGTGTAATTATTGTGTGGGCCTTGCCAGAGATTGGGCCGATAACTCTTTCAAATGAGTTTCTTTTTGCCGCAAAGCCCAACTGCAAATAGACAAATCAAATCAACGAAATCTACGGCTTAGCAGCTGTTTTCGATTTCTCTTTATTTATTTATTTTTTTGTTGCTGCTGAAGTTATCAGCAGTGAACTACGCTTTAATAAAGGGCAAAAACAATAAACATTTTCGGCCCATGATACTGATGCAAAACATTAACTTTTATGCGCAGATAAAAGCAAACCGAACGCAACTGCAAAATGTATCTGGCGAAATCAAGCTGTGAATGGTGGAAACAAATGCTTAAACGATTTAGAGCCGCTTCCCGGGACAGTAGGCTTTTAAAAATACATGAATTTCAATAAAATACGGCCATGGCTTTCCAGCGAAAAGCGGAAAAGTGGGGGCGTGACGAAAAAGGGGCCCAGATAAGGGGCACTGCGATCAGGAAACATTTGCGACGCCGTTTCCATTGCCAGAAACAATAAATTTCACGCATAAAACAAAAGAGGGCCAAATGTATACTATACATATATATACACTTTTTGTCTGCCGCTTTAAGCCCAAATAAAAGCCAGAGCGAAGCGCAGTTGATGAAGGATAAATGTCACACCCGATGAACGTTGGACCGTTGGAACGTTGGAAGGTTGGAAGGGCTGTGGTAACTGTGTCTGCAGTGGTTTAGGCAGCCAAAGACAAAGGCAAAGTCGCAGGGCCCCAACTTCCGAAGGGAAAAAGGAAGTGTCAAGTAGTTTGGCCAGCGGGAAATGGCTTTGGAATGGGGAAAAATCCTCGTAGCATGAAAAATGCCGAGCGTCGGGCGATTTCAAAAATGAAAAGAACCCGGTGCGACATCAGAAAAAAAAATTCGAATGGAACGCGTAACACGAGGAGACACAGGGAAAAGCAGCCACAGAG